GCTTTTAGTCTTTCATAAGAGCAATATTCTATTTATCCTTAAGAAAAAAAGTATGATTATAGTGATTTTATTTCAAATAAGTTATTTTAAAATTCTAGCTTCACAAAGAGCATTTTGAGTAACAGTGATTCTAAGCTTGTCTCAAATCTTTGTTTTTCACTTCAGTTTGCCAAATTTTACTGGAACAATGCTACTGAATCAGGAGTTCAGTTCAGTAAGGTTTTAAACACACTGCATGGCCTTCCTGTTGCTCTGATTTCACACTGTGCATTTTCATGGGATTGTTGCTGTTCATGCGTGGGTGAACTTAATTACCAGAGTTGTTAGCCTTAAGAAAACTGTCTTCTACTGTAACCTTTTGCTTAACTTGGATTGCATCTCGTTTAACAATTCACAGCAGGATTCCTTTTATTCTGTTTCATTATCCTTTATTTACTTGTAAGCCTGTTTTATGTAATGATTCATATCTAAAATCACACTCCTATTTGTTGCCTTTATTAATGAAATAAAACACTGTAAATCAGAATGGGCATTATTACTGTGATTTACAAAATCAGTCTTAAGCATGGGCAAAGCTCTGACAAAGAAAACTGGTCAGGTTTTGAGAAGGAGTGTTATGATGTTTTGCGGTTGTTTCTTACCATTGGCTGTGCATGTAGCTTTTCCATTGCTACACATATTTGGATGAAAAGGCTGGTGAGTTGTAAGCAAGCTGGCGGTTAACTGGAAGTACTGCTCACCACTGTAGACAGTTCTCCCCGTCCTGTATGTGGGGGGACAGAAAGCAGTAGGACTTTCTCACTCTTTATCCAGTTAGTATTGGCTATAGCTGCTCTTGTTGTTGCTGGAGAGCAGAGTAGTGTGGGAAATAGATCTGCCCTTGTGGTTATACTGTTCTATATTTAAAGTTATTATTTAAATTATTACATCCATAGCTGCAGTTGCATGCGTAACCAAGATTTGAGTTGCTGTAGCAACATGAAGAGACAACTGTGCTGAATTTCACAGATCTTTGAAGTAGGAGGTCTCATAATCCAAAATGGGATTGAGAATTCCCATCAGTGTGTGAAGAGCTTAGCTAAGAGGAGCCCTCATTAAGAGACCGAAATATTTCATATCTGACACTCAGGCTGAATTGAATAAGTTCCTGCTGTTCATCAAAGGGATAGAAAAAAAAGGCGTCTGCAAGAGAGAGAAGTAAAGGAATCAAATTATTCAAGAGCAATTGATTTGAAGAGAAATAGAAGGGATGCAGGATTTGATGCCTAGCATGAAAATCACATGATGCTTCCGAGAGGCCACTGACAAGAAGTTTGTAGCATCTGGATATTGTGACTGGCCTGGCCATAGAGGCAGTCACAGGGAGAACTGAGCGTGAGCCAATTGAGGACTTCAAGTGTTATGCATCAATTTTAAATAGTGGTGGTGAAATAACATGTGGTAAGGTAGACAGAGGATGATGTGAAAATCTTTGGCTTAAATGGAACTTGAAGTGAATGGCAGAGTTTTTGGACTGAACACTACTACCTGCATTTCAATGTTAGGGCACCCCTTGTATTTGAGGGGCAACGACTGTTTTGACCACTTGAGGCAAAGATATTTAATATAATTAGCCAAATCACTTCCAACCCTCCACTCCCACCCCCCCCAGAAAAAAAAAGAAAAAAGAAAAAGAAAAAAAGACTAGGAAAAGAAAATAAAAAAGAAAAGAAAATTTGCCTTTTAAAATGTTGTGAGTTGGGATTATTAATTTTCTATGTTTTCATTTCAAGGTCACGTAGTTAAATGCTTCAGCAGTGATAGAATAAGTCCAAGCAACATGACTTTCCTTGAAGGCATACCCTTGAAAAGTCAATTGTTTAAACAGTTTCAAAATGTTAATGGGAAAGGAAGAAAGTAGATTCCCTTGGACTCAGAAAACTTTTAGAGATATGTGTAGCTATAAAAATATATGGTGTGTTAGTACAATTATTTCTAAACCCTGTGAAGTTGTCATTTTTAGTTTTATTTATTTATTTATTTTGCTTTTACTTGTTCTAATAAAGAAAAAGAAACCACTCTATAGGACAGTCAAAGAACCTGCTTAATTTCTGTCATTTTTGTTCATATGCCACAGTTCCATGTGATGGACTGGTGATCCACTTCCCCACAAGATCAACAAGAACTACACTGCAGCTTCCATCTATTATTTTCATTTCATAGATCATATACAACAAGGGCCTGTTGTAGTCTTGTGAGCGAACATAGATGAACCAGGAGGCACTGGCAGAGGAGAAAATCCTACTCTTCATCTGTTATCCAAACAGTTTGTTGGAGTCCCATGTTTCTAGAGCTGCCTCCCTATTTTGGGGACTTCCTGCAGTCACTAAGCAACTGGCTGCCAGTTCATAGTACCCTTCATGCTCTTGCACCTAGTCTCTGCAAGAGCTCTTTGGCAGCTGTATGAGCTACCACACAAGAAAATAAAGAATTGAGGAAAGCGTACACATTAATCACCTTCTTCTGCTCTTCTTTTCTCCGGCTAATTGGATAGCTTCCAGGTAACCTGAGCAGAGCAGATGCTGAAGCAGTGGGATTTCTGGAAATCTTACATTTTCATTACCTCCTTTGCAAAATAGACGTTCCCATCATCCTGGAAGTCACAAGATAGGATTTGGATGATCTGAACATTTTCTACGGTTTATCTGCAGCAGAGACTTTGTCTGATATTTTTAAGGCAAAAGGGTTTCAATGATTGGTTTTGATTACAAGGAAAAATTGAGGTACTGTCTCTGGCTTGCATAATTAGGTAGTTCTAAGCTTTACGTCTTCAGTGACATCAGGCTTGTACTGATACAGCTGTAGGCCAAGTCTGTCTCTGCAGGTTTCTTGCCTTCTGTAAACAGTGAAATGAAGAGGTTTGTTGCTAGGGCGTTTCCCTGCCGTGCTGCAAAATGAAGCCTGACAGAGTTAAGGGCTTTGACTGGAAAGCCAAACTGGCAAGTCTGATTTCATCATGTGACTTAATTGTCTGCAAAATATATGTAATCAACAGGAATGGAATAAAATGGTACATGAAATTATTTGCATTTTGGTAGAATACTGTTATTCTAAGATTATAGCCAAGTCATTATCTTGATAGTGTTTATGAAATGTATCCAAAAATAATAACCTCTAATACAGTGCTGTGGTACTCTCCCACACGCCCAGTATAGAAGAGTCAGTAGCAGTCTCAGTGAATGAGAAAGTTAAGGCAAAAATGTAATGGGCTTGTGATTCTGTAGAAAACAAAGCTGAATTTCAGCCTATATTGAGATTAAATAAAGACATTTCATGAAAAATGTAGTAGAATATTGCAATAGAATAGTAGAATATTGTAATAGAATATCAATAGGGAACTTCTTAACATCTTCTATGTCATGTCCAATTTGGCTTTTGTGTTTAACATATCCAAATTAAGCTTCGGTTCAGGCAGCTATTTCTGTAGTTGTCATAAACTGAAATATCTGTAGCATTTGGAAATTACTATGAATTGTTGAAAACATCCTCTGTTGCTTTCTTTTTTTTTTTAAAGAACTGCAAAGATTGAGCAAACAGCTTCAAGTAGAAAGATAGAAAGATAAAAACACTTGTAAACACTGAACCACATAGTAACCAAACATGAAATATAAACTAGAGCAAGAAGCATACAAAATGACAAAAGAAGATAAATAATTGTTAGTCTTTGGAATTTCTACATATAAATAGAGGATTTCTGGGCAACTGAATAACAAAATAGAGTACATTTCAAGATAGAGAAGAAAGATAACTGCAAACATGAAACATGATCTGTTTTATTTAAGAGTCAAATAAGAAAAAAAAAAAAAAAGGATGGGCTTTAGACTCTAAGCAGTAATTGTTTGAAATTGCTGCAACTAACCCATCCTACTTGACAACATAGCTTGAAATAGAACTCTGAGAAAAATTCTGAGTTACTTCTGTCACGTGATATCATTTGAAGTCTGTATTTCCAATAGTATCTGCTTTTCTTGTTCAGTCTGTTATATTTTTATGCTCCTCAGGGTAACACTGAAGTTTTGGCTACTGGGAATTTGCTAAACTGCTACTGATTTTTTCTCACATGTATTTATATATACATACATAAAAACAGACACATACATATATATATATAGCTAGTAAATTTTATGATGCTAATGCATCATAAAAGAAAACTGTGGATCAGGCCAGAAAAATGAAAATAGGTGTTGTAAAGACACTGAGCATGAATGTTTTGAAGAGAGCTATTAAATAGGTATAATATATAGGTACAGTCTGAATAGACCACTGGGACAATTTGGTCTGACATAGCAGAGCACATAAAACCAGCAAGATGGATAAATACAATCCTTATCAGTGTTCACGTACACTTAATGTAAAGCACATAAATACTTTCTTTGTGGTCACTGGAATTAATTCCCGTTTTATAAATTAAGAAGATAGTGTTTGTAGGATAGGCGTTTTGAATGAAATGAAGATGGTTAAGCAAGGGTAGAGAAATCCTGATTTTTTTTTTCCTGTGTAAATCTCAGCCATCTCATCACTGAAGCCAAAGTCTGTGGACCCTCTTTCAGGGTCCAGGCTATATTTGAAAAACACCATGATAAGAGTTTGCCTATCTACTCGCTGGAGAGTCTATTCTTAACTTCCTGGTTCTCTGCTCCTGCTGAATACATGCTCTGTTTTGGCAGCAGATAAGCCTTTATGCACTGGTCAAATTACTGAGGAATATGCATATTGTTGAACAGTATATGCAGTTATATAATGCTTCTGAAGGAAGATGATAAATTCAAAATTTTTCTTAAAGTTTATGAAAAAAAACTCAGATCCTTTGATAAAAAAACATATTATAAATATGATGGCTATTAGATATTTGTAATGATTATATAAAAATAAGCTTACAAGTTCAGGAATTATATGTGTCTATAAAATATAGTCTACAACAGTTCATGTTTCATTGTATATAATCTTCATTATGTTTTCAGGATGGAACATGAGGCTACCCAGCTAGAAAAGCAGCATGTGCATAGTGTGTATGAAAATACAGCTGCCTACTTTAATGATCTGCAGAGCAAAGCATGGCCTCGTGTGAGAAACTTTCTGTTGGAGCAAAAGCCTGGCAGTCTCGTTGCTGACATAGGTAAGCCATTCCCTGGGACAGCATGAAATATTGTTCATAAACTTTAGTAGTTTATACATTAATCACATATATTTGCTAGAGAAAAAACTTTTAAATTTATTTAGAGATTGCTTTAAATTTTTTTAAAAACCGTAATTAGATGCCATATACCATTTATTTTATTTTTTTGATGGTGTATCCTGCAGCAAGTAAGTACAATTTTTACCTTGTTTTGATGGACCTAAGCTTTAATCTACCAGTTTCCTCTCAGACTTAGTGGTCAATCACTTCCCTGTACCTTTTTTTCTTTTTTTTAATTGTATCAATATAACTCAATTATTTTGTGTTTCAGGTTTTTTTCAGACTCTTTGTTTAAACACTGCTGGTCTGCAATTTGTTACTTTTCATTTGTTCCAAAACTCCTCCTATCATGGCTTCATATTTATATTTTGATGTGTCCATTTTTAAAAACAACAACCACAGAAAGTTATGAGAATCCCCCTATGCTCCTAAATATGGATACTGAAATCTCAATTTTCTACTGTGGCCTTGTCTCTCCTCCATGTTTAGTTTATATCTTCATTTTCTGTTGCACCTACAGATATTGTAAGGTTTACCAGTCCTCAGGTTTGCTTAGTGTTTGTGTTACAAATTCAGTCCTATACACCACATAATTGCAAACTAGTTGCTCCTTTGCATCATTGGATTTTCCTCATTTCTGGTAAAATGCATTTACACTGCATGGTGCAATAACTGTACAAAATAAATTCTATATCTGCCTGATCCTGTCAGAGAAAAATATCTTTGAAGATTTTGTCTACCATAATCACAAGATCAGTTCTGCTGATGTCAAGCAGTCCTCAAAAAAATAAATAAATAAATAAATAAAAAGCTAGGCTCGTATTATTTTGGATATGTATCTTTTATACATCTGCACCATTTTCACTAATAATCTCAGGAAATATCCTATGGCATCCACTCATTTGACAGTTGGCTTAACATGGTATTTCTCAGCCAAAATTTTTTGTCATGTTAATAAAAGTCATTGAAACCTTTGCTGAAGTTCTTTGAGCCTTTATCAGCAAGGGTCACGACTGTAGCTGAAACCTTAAGATCGCCCTATTACGGTCTCAGCTGAAATAATTTAAATGCAGGTGAAGCATCTGGTCAGAAGGCAAATGCTTACATTGCCAATAGAAGTATTCCCATCAAGGCACACAAGATTCCCTCTTAGGGGATTTAATAAGACCTACAGGACTCTGACAGCAGTGTTCATTTTTAGCATGCATTTTGAGAGGAGGGCTACACAGTAGCACCAACATTTTCAAAATAAGCTATTCAACTGCTAATTTTTTTTTCTGTTTAATACCACCTTTTATTAAAATATTTTTGTTTGCCACGAAGAATGATAACAGTAGCAGAATGAAATATTATTTTGTATAACTGCCTTATTATTGTTCATTCATCAGAAAAAATGGCAATAGCGTGGCTGTTGTTAACAGCTTCATGAAGGAATCCACCCTCTTGATGACTCATTTAAAAGTGAATCTCCTGCAAATGTAGATTTTTAGAGTACTGGCAGTGTTACCACTCTATGGCTTCATTCCAGAGCAGACCATGTACTTCAGAAAACACTGTGATTAAAAAGCACTCCACCAAAAAACATGTATGTAGCAACTGAATCTTCGAAATGAATACAAATTTGACTTAATGTGTTCCTTCTACAAAAACGCTTGATTTTGCTCTTTTTTTCAGGATGGAAGCATTGTGCTCTTCTCCAGCAGTTTCTGTGCTGTCTCTCCAGATAATGGTGCACATTAACATCAATGACAGCAGCAGTGCTGCAAGAAGCAGTGACGTTTCTAAAGATAACTCCAGGCCTTTAAATTGAATTACCAGTACAGAGATAGGTCTCTTTGCCAAGCTGCTACCCTGTTGCTTGGCTGTCAACTTCCAGAAATTATTTTTCACTCCTGACCTGTAACTGCAGTGAATGTTTTCTAATATAATTTTGAAAAATGTCTGTTATGCATATGGTAGTGGAGAACACTCTGAAAAATTTCAACTTAGTATAGCACAGTCTTTTAGTAGACATGCTTGTATGTGGAAAATATTCTAGGACTGTTCATTACATTTACATATTACAATGCAACAAAACAAAGACAGAAAGAGAACATGCCCTCAGTGTGTCAAGAATTGTTAAGAATCAAGTATTGTCAAGACTGTATCTCAAGTTGCAGTACTCCTCCTTGCCTTGTGCCAGTTACAGATATGGTTTTGGATTTCTTGCAGATAAATTCTTTCTTCTGCCATTCAGTCAGAGACCTTTCTGGCCATCGAGTTCCTCTTTCTTCCTGGCTCCCTCTGAGTGAGATGTGCTGGAGAGGTACTGGGTGGGATTTAGCAGAGACTACAGAAGTATTCGGCAGACAGATTTATTGTAGGTCACTAAAAAGACATTGCTCTGAGATACGCAGTGGTGGCTGCAGAGGACTGCTCATTCCTTCTCTCACCTGCATGTAGCTTTCCTCCCCAGTAAACTGCATGTAGCGTAGTATAGCACAGGGCTATATAATGAGTATTTTTATTTGTGAGAGTTGTACTGTTAAATTCCTAATGGTGTGAACAAATAATTTCAAACAGTCCAAATGAGTCTTGCAGGAGTTAGGCTAGTAGAAGCAAACACACATTTTCAGGAAACCTTAGAACCAGAGAAGAAAACTCACTCCCAGCATCACTCCCCATTATTTTCACTGTTTTGGGAGGAACAGATAGTGTCCATAACATACAGCTTCTGATCTACTAAAGACTATTCTTTTCTTTAGGTTGTGGAACTGGAAAATATCTCAGTGTCAACAGTCAGGTGTACAATCTTGGCTGTGATTACTGTGGACCATTGGTAGAAATCGCAAGGAAGAGAGGTGAAGAAGTCCTGGTTTGTGACAACCTTAACCTTCCTTTTAGGGACCAGTGCTTCAATGCAGTCATTTCCATTGGAGGTAAGACAGCATACACTCATTCTGTTTCACTGCAAATACATATTGCTTTTGATCATTTTCTTTCCGAGTGTCTTTGCTTCAGTTAAATGTCTTTTCAAAAAGTTCCCTAAGAATCACAGCATGTATCACTGAAATTAATGTAGTAAAAGTTAAAAAAAATTTGGTCCATTGCAAAGATGTGCTGTTGACCAGGGAAATATGTAGATCATTTTTTTTTTAAATATGTGGTCTTGATCACTCTGTGAAGAAAAGATTTCCTTCCAACATGCACTTTAAACAAGTAAAAATTAATATAGAATCATCGAATGAATCATAGAATGGCTTGGATTGGAAGAACCTTTATGATCATCTAGTTCCAAAGCCTCTGCTATAGGCAAGGACACCTCACTCTAGACCAGGTTGCTCAAAGCCCCAGATTTCCTTCAGGTCCCCTTCAGGTACTGGAAGGAAACATATAGACATGGCCATTTGTAGTTTAAATACATTACATGGTCAAGATACACTTGTTTCTTCCTTAAGATCTGTTTTGACTGGCAAATACATTGAAATGGAAAAAAACTTGTAAGAAAGCAAGAACTTGAAACTTATATTGACTATTATGTATTAGGAATACAAATTTCTCTTTGAATAGACACAAAATCAAAATTCAGAATTATTCAAACGCCTGTTGTCTGAGTGAAGAATCTTAACATCTTATCTCCTCTGACTTCTATTTTTGAAAATATTGCTCATAATTTGAGAAAGAAAACCTGGAAAAGGGTGGATGAAGAGCAATAGTCAGAGTACCCAGTTACAGTCTAGGTTTTTTAGTTCAGTGCTAGCTTGAACTTCCTTCAGGCTGTTTCGCAGCATAAGCAAAAATATAAAATGGGAAAATTATTATTGGTAGTAATCAACAGTACTTGGTCTATTACTGAAAAGTATTTTTAAATATATAGTATTTGTAAGTGCGACATTTTAAAGGGAAGAAATGTTGACCAATATGTGACTGATATGTATATTTATTTGCTTTTGTATTAACTATTCACTATAGTTGTCAGGTCTATCCAAATATCAGGTCTTGTGGCATGATTTCGATGCTACTAGATCAGCTGACTTTGTAGGAGAACCTACCTATTTAATATTTATACCAGTTAAAGGCCTGACAATATTAAAAGTTCATGTGGTATTTTTGTACTTTCAGCAGTAATGGATTTTAATCCCTCCTGAACAGAGATATGATATGTCTGTGTCCATCTAATTATAAATAAAGTGGTTTTTATCCCATTTCAGTTAATGGCAAGTATTTGTGTGCAGAATCAAATACTCTACTTCGTTTTGCTGGAATTCATCTCTTTATAGGATTTCTATTTCTGTAGAAGTACCAGAATGATTATGTAATTCGAACCACAAAGGATATTTAATCTGTTGAATGAATTGCCTAGATAGAGCTTTCTGATTAGCCCTTTATTCTGGTGAACTAAGCTCACATTCTTATGCTGTCAGTTTGATACCATTTTACAGGAGGTTCAGTGGTGACATATAATTTACCTCCATTATGAGAGAAAATATCAGTTTCTTTCTCTCCATCTTATTTAATAGTGTTCATTTTTTTTCCAGTTAGGAGGAGCTGGAAAAAAACATTGACCACATGGAAAACTCTTCTCAGAGTTTTCTGTCAGATGCTTCTGAGGGCCTAGTTAATATCAACTGCCAAGAAAGTTTTCTTTGGCCTATGGTAAAAAAAGTTCATTTTTCCCCTTGGTAAGTAATCATTGTTTAGAATTAAATCAGGGCTATCTGGACATCCTTTTCATAACTGCAACATTGAAAGAATCTTTCTACAAGAATTGGCTACTGTCAAGCAGCACACATAATCTAATTTTTCTGAAGGTATGAAGATGACTTAAGGTGAGAACATATATATTTTGATGGGTAGATTGAATGGTTGTGTGAAGTAGCTGCTTACAGGTCCATCTGAACTGAACTGTGGAATCAGTCCATATGTCATTGATTTGAATTACTTATCGCAATCTGATGATATAAAAAACAACCTCACCAACATGACTGATCTCAGCCCAAGTTAATGCTGTTGAGCATTTAGAGAGCAAACAGCTGACTTAGCTATTCTCTGGCTGTTAAAATGGTTCCTTCAGGTGAGCTGGAATCTATAAACAATGTGGAAGTCTTGAAACATGGTTCATTTCATATTATAGTGAAATTTGGAAATTATCCTTGAAAGAAAATTCAACCATAGTGATCAGTAGTTTTATTTTGACTTTGATTTTTTTTTTTTTCAGTACCTTTCTCAGGAATGAAAACGGAGACTGAGACACTTTTCATCTTTCTTCCTCCAAAATAAACATTCAATAAAGGAAATACTTTTCTACAGAATTAATGCACTGGAAAAAAATTCTGTTTAATTTTTCTGACTAGCTCACTGACATGAAAAGCACACTGACATGAAAAACTTGTTCTTTTCACCAATATTACTTTTTGCTGTATTTGTTACATGATAAAAAAGAATTTTCCTGTTTCCTGTTTCCTGTGTTTCCTGTTAAGATAAATCTCAAGTGTGTTCCAAACCCTAAAGTCGAACTTAATATTACCTAACTCAACCAAAGGCCAGGCATTTTAGTGAAAGCTAGTCATACTGTTTTCTTGTATGGGTGATGCAGAGAAACAGAAACTCTGTCTTATGTGCCTGACTTATCTCAGAACTCTATTTTGTGTTCGGTTGAATGTCCTCCTTTGGGATTTGCCTGTTTTTATCCACTGAATGTGAACACAAAAGAGGTAAACTTGTTCTGCAGTATCAATAAATTCTGCAGCATTGCTGACTTGCATGGGTGATGATTGTGATATGGCAACAAAAATGATTTAACACATAGAACAAGTTGAAAAAAAAAATGCTCTGCCCTTACTCATATTCAATACATAATGTCTTTCCTTTTTCATAGTGATCCATCATTTCTCAACTAAACAAAGAAGAATCAGAGCAATAAAGGAAATGGCGAGAGTACTGATGCCTGGAGGCCAGATGATGGTTTATGTTTGGGCTATGGAACAAAAGAATCGTCACTTTGAGAAACAAGATGTATTTGTTCCCTGGAACAAGGCTTTGTGCTCACGGCATTTTTCAGAATCGAATCAATCTGGAGATAAGGGAGAGTTTGTGCATGCAGTAAAAAGCCAAGATATGTACCCTGCAGAGGTACTGAGCTCTGATTACAGCTACCAAACCAATCTACAACCAGAAACTGATTCAAAACAACCCCACAGTACAGACCATTGCTTATCCAGAGCCTGCTGCATGAAAATTTCTGAAGAAGAAAATAGATTTTACAGTGCTCTCGGAAGATCTTTCCGTTCATGGTTTTTCTCCAGATCCCTTGATGAATCAGCCCTCAGAAAGCAAACTGAAAAGTTGAGGCCTCTGAAGAATGAAGGAGAATGGACAAACAGTACCGTGCCTATTCAGCAGTCACGACACTGCAGTTTGGATTTAGGTCATCACAGGGCACTGCTAAAAGAACAGTGTTTAGATGATGATGATGTGTTTGTAGAAAGCTCACCTATCAAAAAACTGCCATGGTCACAAGCCATACATGCACTGAAGGATGTGAGTTTAAATGGAGGACACCAAAGTGCAGCTCGGAGCAAGGATGAAGAAGCTGCATTTATAAATGGCCCACTGGAAGACGAGGACCACAGCTGCAGTTGTAATAAAGATGATGCTGTTAAGTCTAATGCCAGCAAGTTTTTCAAAAGAACTTCAACAACTGACTCCACTGACTCTGCTTTGGATTCAGCAGTGTCTGTTGGGGACCAAAGCAATGACACACTGGATACAAAAGCCTTCATGCGCTATTATCATGTTTTTCGGGAAGGGGAGCTTTGCTCTCTGATAGAAGAGAATGTGCCTGAGCTTCTGATACTTTCTTCCTGCTATGACCATGGAAACTGGTGCATTATTGCAGAGAAGAGAGGACAATAGCTGTAAACAGGACGAAACAATGTAGTGACTGAGGATTTTAAGCTGCTCCTTGTGTTCCTGTGACTGTACAGTGTGACATGGAATTTGAATCCCTTGTAGTCATGTGCCATTCATTCCTGAGTTTATTACATATGTAAATATCTAATGCAAAGCCTGTATATAGGAATGTAAGTGGCAAACGATACTTATGTTTTGTCAAACTTTTATGAAGTTAAAAATGAAGAGTTTTATATTGCTTTTAGCAAACAATTGTGTTTTTAAATATACTTTTCTATTGAAAAATAAAACTTTTTTATAAGACAAGGAAAGGATCAGGACATCTTTTATGAGAAATATCATCTCAGTAGAACATTCAGGTTTTGTTCTTGAAATGCTGAAAATAGATGACATTATTCCCTGTTCTTGAAGTCATATGAATAGAGACATAGACACATTTTGAAAAACACTTGAGTGTATGCTGCTTGAGTGCATGCTGCAGAACTGGGAGCAAGCATGGTCCCAGTGCTACTTAGTTTGGAGTAGAGTTGTTAGTAGGCAATACTATGTACAGAGCAAGCTCGGCAGCTTCTGTCATTTGTGACTGATATTTCAGAATAAATGGCAGAATAAATTTTGAACAGCACTTTGGATCTTTGTTTTGAAAATAATTTAATTTGTGCCTCAGTTGTAAGTTTGGTTCTGCATGTTGGCTCTCACTAATTTCCTGTGCTGCAGGTTTTCACTGGTTATATGTATATACAAGTCAGAGGGATTAGTGAGAGTATCAGTACTAGGTAAAGGTTACCAAATCTCAAATATTTGAGATGCATATCTCTTTTTTATAAGCTTGACTAGCTAAGATAAATAACACTTGGTATAATTAATAAGATCCCGGTGCACATCCAGTCAGCTCTCATATTAACTCTCGTCATTCATTGATGTGAGAATATATACTAAATGGAGTCTTAATCAATGTAAATAGGAAGAGGATACAAGTCAAATTTTGTATCTAAAATACAACTTTTCCAGTCCATGTTGAGTAAGTAGATGAGTTTTGGATTGGATTTTGACTTGGATGGATTTTTAACTGGGCGGATTTTGAGTTGATCGGTAGAAATCCCTGGTGGTACTGGCTATTTTTAGATGTAGCTGCCCAGGAGTAATTACTGCATGGTAATGTATTATATATCTATTTACTGACATAATGCCTGTAGAAGAATCATCTTTGTCTTCCTCTTAGTTTAGGATCCTTGTACTTTATATTTCCCAGGTCTGTACCAAGTGCCAGAGGCAAATCCTTACATTCCTTACTGCCTTTTGAAAATAAAAACTATCCATCTGAAACTTCTGAAATATTATTCTGCTGTGTCTGAGCCTTACCTCGGAGCATAGGCAATATTCCCTATGTGACTGGGTCCAGCTGCTCTCTGCTCAGGGGCTGCTCCAACTGCATCCTCCATCTCTAGTTTCTGAAGCACAGTGCATAGAAGCCTGTGGTGGTAAATTGCAAAGTCGATGGGGGTCATGATCACCTCCACACCTCATCTGCAATGTTGTCATGTCTGACCAGAAAGGCTTACCTCATTTCCTGAGAATTTCTTGAGAAGCCTGAGGAGTTAGAACCAAACTCAGTTTCTTCCAGACAAATATGTTAGGGTATATTCAGCACCCCTAGAATTTGGGCCCTGTGTATGAAGGAGATTATTTATCATCCTATATCCAATCTTGAAAGTTTGTTCGTAAAGTCCAGCATGCAGAAACTCCATTGCACAGACATTAAAATATTCATTAAAAGTATGAATCTCTTGAAAACTTTATAACAAATAATGAATAAATAAATAAAATCCAGTTTCCCCTGCATTCTCAGTCATGCCCAGTCTACAAGATCTGGTTGCTGTAAGGTTAAAGGCAAATATGTTGTATTTCTTGTCTGACTTAGAGGCAAAATTGTCACCCTCGTTTTGCCAATATCAAATTTGATACTGACCTCAGTACATCTGCTCATAAGTGGCACATGGAGATGTCTCGATTGCACAAGAAAACAAGCCCCATTTTTTACAATTTAATTTACTGGAATCACTGTTGGTCTGAACTGGCTGAACAAATGCTGCTACTGTGTTAACTCTTACTAACCGTAATCAGAAGGCACAACTGTGATAAAATGGATGCAATTCAACAGATCTATTTCTGAAGGACTAAAACAATTGTAACCTTTGATAAATGGCATTTTGTCTTCTTATTTTTTTAACACAAAGAATATTTATATTAGAAATGCAGAAAAATCTTTATTTTTCTGCTAATGGTGACTAATTTACCTTCTTCCAAGCTCGTGCAGGAACTTTAAAAACACAGGTGAGGTATGAAAGCTGTAAGTAAGCCAACAAATCTTTTTCTGGCACATATTTATATATGAGTTACTTATGCCTGCACTATAAAATCATGTTGAATGGAGAGCAGTATGTTCCACACCAGCAGAACTTTTTAAGCAAACTACCTTGCTGGATTATGAAGAGGTGGCTCTAAGCCTGTAACATTCCTGCCATATCAAGCTGCATTCATGCCTCTGTGGGGCTCTGTTGGTGTTGACATTGTGTTGAACCCATTGGTCTACCCATTTTCTTGCTCAGCTCTTTGACAGGAGTTGTGGCTATTTTAGCGCTCCGTGAAAACGAAGTGTGTCAGTGTTAAATACATACAGTTTTGTATTTATCCTGTCCATTCAGCATTTCCTATTCTTATAATATATTAATTCTGACAGGTATCCATGATTTTATCTTCCACTCTGCTGATCACAGCCATGCTTAGGTACTGCTCTGTAATCAGTTCTTTGTCTGTACGTAGAACCTATTATCTAATATTTGACAGAAAATAAATCTTACTTGGATAAAATATGATTTCATACAGAACTTCTGTGCTTTAGGATTAGTTAATAAATACATTAGCTACTAGGAACTGTGTATGGGTAAGTTCTTGATGAGTGTTTTTGAGAAGACTGTTAGTGCTATTTGCTCAGTGAGACCACATAGCACAATGCAGAGCAGGTGAGCAGCCTGATTTTCTATAAAGCCAGAAAGTCTGTCTTTACTTTAGACTCGCTATAAATGTGTTCATTTGAACTAGGTAAATAAAAGTGATGACAAGTGATTTTTAACCACATCAGTACTATGTGTCATGCTGATGATAGAAAAGGGTATAGCTGATGGTCCAGCAGGATTATCTGCTACTGAGCTTCATTTCTGAGCCCCTTCTGAATTATTTACTGTGCTCCAGGACTAAGCACTGTGGCATAAGATAACATTGAAACATTTCTTCAGCACTGTTCACAGTCTTTTTGCACCAATTTAAGTCAGAATAAAAAAAAACATTGTAATTAAAATTATTCAATTTCCAGGTGAGATTACAGCTATACTCAATTAGAAGTGTTTTTACAGTTAAAGCGATCATCAATTGTGCTTTTACAATTACACTGATCACTTCTTATTATGCTGATAATTTTATCACAGTAGTGACTAAGGACCTAGAAATAATTAAGCACCATCCAAGTGAGTATATCTGGTAGAAAAGATCATGTAGCTCTTTGGATTTTAGTATAAAGCATGTAGCATTTAGATAATGGGAAAGTAGTATGAATACAGATTGGGTATTGGTAACGAATGTAATTGTAGGTGGATATGGATTGGTCCTTGTGAAGAGAGAATGAATGAAATTTGATGCAGAGTTGAGAGGGGCTAAGGAAAAAGAGCAAAGATAGGAAGTATACAGGGAAATGAAGGGGAATGGCAAAGGTGAGAGCAATGACAGCAGAGAAATCACAGTTGGCTTTGCTGGATATTTATAATTTCCAGAGGGTCTAAGTTGTGTTGTCCTGCTCTCTTCATTGCACATGCAGAGGGAAGAATGCATCTTTTTAAAGTTTGTACTTTCCTGTGCACTTCCAAGCCTAGGCATATACAGATGAAGATTGATAGGATTAACAATTTTTCCTTCCTTTTTACAACACTGTAGCTTGTTGTGTTTTGATTCCTTTTATTCTTGTTGAGTGCTTCAGTTTATCCTGGTCAACATGACCTTGCACAGAGGAGCTTCCTCTTCTACCAGTATAGTGAAACTATACTGGTACAAGGTTTGCTTGTAGAAAGGGTTGTAGAAACAGATTAAAAGAATATTAAGGCACTAAAAGGTGCATATTTTCAGCTGTTAAGAGATACCATTTCTTGCTCTTACTTTCTGTATAGTTACAGAATGTTATCCAGAGTGAAGAAAACACTGCTCTGAGACTCTCCCTTAGTGCAATATGTATGAGTGTGATGTAGAAAACCATACCAAACATGTGTGGGCATCTTGGATGCTTAGTTTTTGAAATGTGCTATGAGTGCACCAGGAAGACCTGATAGCAGTCTTTCAATATCTTAAGGGGGACTGTAAGAAAGAAGGGGACAGACTCCTCAGCAGGGTCTGTTGTGATAGGACAAGGGGAAACGGTTTCAAACTGAAAGAGGGGAAATTTAGAATGGATGTAAGGAAGTTTTTTTCAATCAGGGTGGTGAAGCACTGAAACAGGCTGCCTATAGAGGTGGTGAATGTCCCATCCCTGAAAACATCCAAGGTCAGGCTGGACTGGGCTCTGAGCAACCTGTACTAGCTGCAGGTGTCCCTGTTCGTTGCAGGACAGTTGAACTGGATGACCTTTAAGGGTCCTTTCCAACTCAAAAGATTCTATGATGATTCTACAGTGAATTTCTAGATGCTTGGTTTGCTACTACAGCTGTAAATATATTTAGCATTTTGCATTCAGATGCAAGGGATTGTGCAGCTCCCTTTGACAGACTAATTACCAAAAGCTCCATTACTCCTAATAATTTCATTTCTATTTCTTTCTAACCTCGTTTGTTTTCTTCTTTCTGAGCATTTCCTTCCATGTATTTCTCATTTTTTACCCTTTATGATGACACTTTCAGGGTATTCCATACTTTCACCTCTGACAGTTGAAGATGAAATTGAGACAACTTCTTAAATCCTCAAAGCACTATAGCAAATCTTACAACAATGACTAATTTACAGAATTAAGAACACTTTATATCTACAGTAGTGCAACAAATAATGGTATCATCTATACATCAGTCTCTCTCTTTGTTTTTTATGTCAGCTGTTTTTTATTCATCATTGTCTATTTTGGGGTGCCTTTTGTACCCATTAGGTTATTCTCATGTCTTCCTTCAGGCATACCTGAAGACAGCATGTGCCTGCAATGCTGCTGTGTCAATTTAGGCAAACAAGCAACACCTGAAGCCACCCTGACTGTCTTCTTTAAACTCATCAGTTCTCCTACAGAGAAAGGTTATCTTAAA